GGGAGGCTGGGAAGGGATGTGAAGGGTAAACCAAAGGAGGAGGCTGCAATGCTTGGTAAGAAATCTACGCATTATCTTGCCCATGTAATTGTAACCCCTCTGTACAGTATGTTCACAAATTAAATTAAATTAAATTAAAAAAAAAGAATCCCTGTGAGGAAACTTTTCACTGCTTACCTGAAGAAATTATTAAAGGAAATCCAAGTAGAGCACAGCAAATGCTCACAGACAGTGACCAAGCTCTGAGTTGAAGCCTCAGGACCAACAGAAAAAGAAAAAACATAAAACCCTTAAATGAAAAGCAAAATTCAGAAACAGCCAAAAACTCAATTTCACTTAATAGATAGAATTGAGGATTTTCTGGAAAATTAATTGTTTGATTTTGCAAAATCTAAATCAACACAAGGATTATGATGCATATGCACATAACCATCTTCTTATTCTCTGCCAATGTGGACATTACACTAATGGAAAATGACCCGGTATAAGTTCAGTGTCTATGAGTACATTTGTAAGATGAGAGGGGAGGTATTAAACAATGTAAAGCAAAACAGAGATATTATTTACACTCAGCAGAACACAGGCATAGAACAAAAAGAAAGGTATGAGAAACACAGTCTCATAACCTCAATTTCATTATTAGAACTAAGTACCAAAAAGTCAATGCATCCAATTCTCCCCATATATATCCATTTTCTGGTTGGTTTTACAATATTTCACGAAGGAAACAGTGGTTTTGAAGAAGAAACACATCTTAGGTCCCACAGCAGGGAGAGAAAAGTCCCAATGCATCCAAGCACTCTTCTGACCAGAGGTAAAGCAAGGTGGCGCCGAGCATTATGGGAATTGTAGTTTCCGTGGAGGGCTTTTGGTTTGAAAGTCCTGAGTTGTTTTTGTTTTTGGAGGGCGGAAGTGGCGCAGAGATCCTTTTGCGCATTCATCTCCCCGCCCACCTGGGGCATTTTAAGTCTGCCCCTTCTAGATTCTTTCCCTTTGCCTTGCTGCTGGAAGTGCCCTGAAGTAAAGTTCGGCCTTCCATAGGTGGGAGCCAGGAGGCAGGTGCCCAGCTCTGTGCAGTGGAGCTTGGGAGCTGTAACTTGAAGGAATCTTAAGCTTTGGAACTGATGTCAGGTAGGAACTGTGGGATTGCTGCTGGAGTCTATCCTCCACAGGTTTCTTTTTCAGGTTCTGTTTTTTCTTGGTTGTTAGTGGGGCTTGAACATTGGGCCTGCAAGCAACGTTCCTGGGCTCGTCAGCTCTTTATAAAGAGAGCTTTACACTTGCGCCAAAGCACCCGCTTTCCCCTCCACGTTTTTCTCCAGTCTGGGGTTGATAATTTGCTTGAGGTTCAGGAGTTTGTGCTGCCATTAGCCTCTGGGCCTTCCGATGCAAGAACCTGATTCCCAAATGTCTGAGAGCAAGCTGGGTGATTGTCCAGACTAGGAGAGCCCAAGAGCTGTGCATTAGTACTCCAAGACCAAGGGATTCTTCTATTAACTCATGTGACTTTATTTGCTTTGCCCAGGTGGAAGAGGAGTACAGGAAGAATTCTAGTGAAATTGTGAGGTGTGTGCCTGCCTTGAGTCCTCTTACATTGCAGTTGTATTTGGGGCTTCTGTATTGTTTGTCCTAGACATATTTTAATCTGTTTGGCTTGAAGTTTTAATCTCCTGGCTTGAGTTCACAGATGTTTGCTCACCATCCTGTTTCTAGAGACAGTTGTACAGGGGATATTGGAGTAGTGAGTGCTGGTCCTGTATTTTTAGGAATGAAGCCTAACAATGTTTGAAGCAGAGCACCCTATGAATAGGAATCTCCATGCTCAATGGACAGACCTTGTCAATTCTGAGAAGCCCTAAAGGAAAGAAGCAGAAAAGCACAGGAAGGGGAAGATGTTGTTAGCTTCCCTTGCCTTATGCAAAAATTGTTGCTACTTACCTGAGCACCAGATTCATGTGGTACTCTTTCCTACACCACTCTCAATCACTTTGTGTTGTTGTAAGATTTGAACTAATTTATAGGAGTGGTGATGAGCTGGCTTGAGGAATAAGCCAGAGCATAGTTATCAGAGGGTACCTGAGGCTGTGGTTTGGGATGGTGGGGTAATTGTTATGACTGAAAGTATCTATTCATGTACTAATCCCGAATGCTCTTCCTGCTAATTTATTCAGCCTGGGTTACCACTAGGTATTTTAGTATGAAATCAGTGAAACTTATCTTAAATGTTCCATCTATAGATTTGCTAATGCTAGCTCTAATCGGTTGGTTGTGCCTGGTAGTGCAGAAAGTGTTGGTCGGGGACTTATGGCCTTCAAAGGAAAATCACAGAAGAAAAGTTGAGGTAATATGTCTTACTGAAGGTTGTATGATTTGTAGGTGTTGCATAACTTCAGGTGTGTCACTCCTATATGGAGTATTTTATGTTGTATCTTTAGGATGGCCAAAGATCCTCCCTTGACTGTTTAGGGAAATGACCATTAGGGACTTCTCAAACCTGGGTTTACCTCATCTTTACTCATGTCCCTTTGGCCAAAACATGTTAAATGGCAAATTGCAAGTCATTGCACAGGTGTGCAATGGGTACAATGAAATGTGCCATTTGACACCATTATTGAAATATTATAACACAATAAATATATTCTGTATATGTTTTCCTCTATGACCTTGGGTGAAAACTACTGAGTTACATCATACATGCTTTCCATGGTGTTTAAATATATAAATGATGTTAGAACACGAATTCCAATGAATTCCTAGTATACCTTTACATTAAAAAAAGCAGTTCATACATCCTGAAGTATATTCAGTAGTAACTACTTTTTGTGGAAATGTGATATGTTTTTGCTTTCAGTCATTCAATATTTGTTGTGGGAACATTCAGTTTTACAAATGTCGTATGTACATAAACATAGAAATTAGTTGGTTTAATAATATCTATCTACCAGGAAATGGACTGGATTTGTGTTTATTGGAGACTTTAATGCTTTGCCTGAGACATTAAAGATTCTTCTAAGATGGCTTTACCATTTTTCAGCCTATGTATTATGTTTGCAAGAGGAAATTCTGGGCCCCAAATCTCACAGATTCATTTCTGAATACGTCATTTGTCTTATATCCCAGCCATGCTTCCAGAATCCTCTGCTCATTGTCAGCAGCAAGACAGAATGAATGGATCTCTGGTGAGTTGGTTTTTTATTTCTCATTTGTTTTCCATTCCATTATATGAACCTAAAGATGCTCAAGCATTAAAAACAATACCAACCACACAGATTCAGCCTCAGGAACATATTCATAAATCAGATAAAGTTGGCTTATAGATTAGCAGATAATAATTGCTTGTAGGTTTACCAGATTAAATGGTTATATTCTTTCTAAGTTGAATGCATATTGGCTTCAGAATGTCTAGGTTTCATCTTGTCATAAAATGTAATCAAATCTGTTATGTGATCTAATGACACCGAGCAGGTTACTTCTCATGGAAGGTGAAGGATAGATTGCCACCAGATCACATCCTCATGAGTAACATTAAACTATCTCAATGAAATTTTCCTGGAATTGCTGAAATAGTGTGGTCATACACACCTTCATGTGTTCTTAAGGAATGATTAACCTATATGTACTTAAATTACTCTCCAAATATACTTCTTGAACTACTTCATGGTCTTGATCTTACGTGAAACTTAGGCTATACTTGTTGCTAAGCTTTATGGTCTTTCTACAAATTCCTGTTTGTTTTCTTTTCTTTTCTTTCTTTTTTTTGTCCAGTCGTGATGCCTGAACTCTGGGCCTGGACGCTGTCCCTCAGATCTTCAGCTCAAGGTTTGGGGTCTACCACTTGAGCCACAGTACCACTTCTGGTTTTCTTCTTTTTTGCTTATGTGGTACTGAGGAATCGAACCTAGAGCCTCATGCATGCAAGGCAAGAGCTCTACCACTGAGCCACCTTCCCAGCCCTCCTGTTTGTTTTCTAAAGTATCCTCACAAGATTTCTTTCCTCCATTTTCTCTCTCTATTTTTGATTTTCTACTCACTAGTGTTGGTTATTTTTCCATTTTTCTCTCTTTGTATCTATCTGTCTATCTTTTTTTCTTACTTTTCTCATTCACTCTTTCCTCCATATGTGTCTCAGTAGTTTCTTTTCTTCAAATGATCTATCTGGGAACTACTTTTTCTTAGTGATCACTTTTACTTTGCTGACATGGCTCTTAGGATTGAAATTTTTCCTACCCAATGTATAGGAAAATTTTTGCCTAGAGTGTTCTACAGGATTCCAGAAACAAAGAAAATTAGAGAAACACAAAAACATAAACAGATAGACTTAGGGGAAACCAGGGATCCAAAGTCTCTCCGGCACTTGGTTCCTTGGTGCCAGCAAGCAAGCATAGCTCCTTGAGTGCACACAGGGAAGATTACCATTGATAACATGCAAAATTGGAGTATCTATATTAATAGTACAATCAGAGCCACAACAGTTTGTGAGGGATACATGTTTCCTTATTCTCTGGGACAGAAGACTGGCTCCCAGAGAAATGCAGACATGAAGTTCACCTTACCTAGCCTTCAAGGTCAACAGCAGCTCAGGTTCAGATGCTGTCTTTCTATCTTTCCAACAATAAGGAAAAGGCCTGCCCTCCAGTCTCTTAACCCTCTCCAGAATTCCCTTTTAAGTCTTCTGGGGCCAGCTCTCAGTGTTCTCACTGCGGTCAGGCTGGAATTCCAGCCTCTCAAACGTTTTCCCTCTTCAGCTCAACTTCAGAGTTCACTACAGAAAAGTACTTTCTTCCCCCAATTGATACACTACAAGAAAATCAGTTTTCTCCTGATTCTGTTATCTTTGGTCTAACTTCATTTGATGTGGCATTCTGTTTTGTTTTTCCTTCCCACTACTTTTGAATATTTTAATTCACTGCCAGTATTTGATTGGAACTGGTTTTGATAAAAAAAAATACAGTGACCAGGTGTTCTTTATTAGAAATATCACTTGTTGCAAAATCTCACAGATGTTTGCCCAGGAATTGATTTTGATCTCTGAGGAATTTTGCTATTAACTAACACAAGTGGAAATATATCCTTAGGAATCTCCTGGAGAAATGACTCAGGAATATGTTACACATTTGAGCATTTGGTCATATTTATCATTTTTGTTATATTGAGTGTTCCTTGAGCTTCTATACATTTTCCTCCACCTTCCATGAAGCCTATGAAAATGAAAATCTTGTAAAGGAATATTTTATTCCCCTCCCACCTATATTTTGTATTGTAGAATGTAGGCAAAGTTTAGAAAACTTCATGGTAGCAGTTCATTTTTACATAGGATGGATATATCAGGGTATCTGTGACCATATTTCAATATTTAGTATTTAAACCAAACATGGTTAACCTAGGATATTTTTATGTGTGAACTCAATCAAATCTTTTTTTTGGGGGGGGAGGGAGGAGGTCTGGTCGTGGGGCCTGAACTCTGAGCCTGGGCACTGTCGCTCAGCTCTTCAGCTCAAGGCTAGCGCTCTTCCACTTGAGCCACAGTGCCACTTCCAGCTTTTTTTTTTTATTGCTTATTTGGTGTGGAGGCATCGAACCCAGGGCTTCATGCATGCAAGGCAAGCTCTCTACTACTGAGTCACCTTCCCAGCCCCTCAATCAAATCTTATGTGGGCCAAATAAATCATTAGCTACTTTCTGTAGTACTGTTAGTATTTTTTAATATTCATGTGGACACTGCTTCTCATAGATCTAGTAATGTTCTATGTTCTGTATTCCATGTGATATCCTGAATATGTTCTGCTTGCTTTTGAGAGTATGTGTTAATAGAAAGTCTAAATAGGATTTATGGTGAAGCAGTATATGTAAATGCAGAAAAAATATTTGTTTAATTCATTGTTACACTGATATGTACTAACATTTTATCAAAAAATGATAATATAAATTTTCAGACACCTCCTTAGACTTATTGTTGTCATGCTAGATTACTGTTTCCTTAGAGTTTTTATCTTGTCTCTATTGCTAGCAGCAGAAATGTGTTTGCATGTATTAGGGAAACTGTAATATTTTATTGGTCTTGGGGCTTGAATTCTGGACCTGGTTGTTGTCCCTCAGCTCTTCAGGTCAAGGTGAGGGCTCTACCACTTAAGTGACAGTGCTAATTTCTGTTTTCTGGTGGTTTATTGGAGATAAGAGTCTCATGGACTTTCCTGCCTGGGCTGGCCTTGAACCTAGATCCTCAGACCTCAGCCTCCTGAATAGCTAGGAGGATAAGCCACCAGTGCCCTGCCAATCTGTGTATTTTATTTTATTTTACTTATTTAATTATTGTTTTAGTCGGTTGTGAGGCCTGAACTCTGGGCCTGGGCGCTGTCCCTCAACTCTTCAGCTCAAGGCTAGCTCTCTACCACTTGAGCCACAGCACCACTTCCAGCTTTTTTCTTTTTGCTTATGTGGTTCTGAGAAATCGAACCCAGGGCCTCATGCATGCAAGGCAAGCACTCTACCACTGAGCCACCTTCCCAGCCCCAATCTGTGTATTTTAATGACCAGGTTTATATATTGTCAAATATTTCTAATTTGCTATTTAATTTTCCCAGTGAATAGATAACACAGCAAGGTGCAAACATTTTATGTAAGACAAAAGCAGACCTGCAGCATAATGAAATTCCAGATTGGAATTCTCATGACCCAGGTTTAATTTCTTGATGGAAATGTGCCATTACAGAAGCTGATATCATTTGATGATGTGGCTGTGTACTTCACATGGAAGGAGTGGCAGGATCTGGATACTGGTCAGAGGACCCTTCACAGAGATGTAATGCTGGAGACCTATAGCAACCTAATGTCCTTGGGTGAGCAAAGGTCACTTTTTCTTGGAAGATCAAGTGCTTTTATTTTGGTAGACATTTGACTGTTTATGTTATTTAGGTATAAGATTCCAGTCCATTCCCAGGTAAAAAAACTGCCAGTATAAAAGCCAGCCAAATTCAGGTCTGGGAGCTTGGTGTTGTTTGCCTTTCCCACTACTGCATGAGCCACAACTCCATTTTGGCTTTTGTTTTGGGGTATATTCTGGGTTTCCATGCCCAGGTTGGTTTCAAGCCTGCCTCTTCTGATCTCACCTCCTCAATAAAGGGTTACAAGTGTAAGCCTTTGGACCATTGCATTTCAAAAAAAAAAGAAAAAGTTTCCACTCCAAGGGAAGTGTCATTTCTTTGTAAGGGAAACTTCAACTTCATTATATGTAACTCAAGAGCTATTTTTTTTCTCATTCTTTAAGGATTCTAATCAGTAGTTGGACAAAAGTTCTAAAATATGCTCCACTCACAGGCGACTGACTTCCCAGCCGTGGGGTTATTATTATAGGTAGATGTAGAGTCTAGATAGAATATGCATTACTACTGACAGTATGAACTGGAAACCAGCAGTTGAAAGTGTGTATTTGTAAGCCAAACTTGACACAGAGTTTAGTACATCAAGCTTGGAATCCTAGATACTGTGGAGGCTGAAATCTGAAGATTTTGGTTTTAAGCCAGCAACTATAGAAAAATGACCATGAGACTCTTATCTCCAATTAATCATTCCAAAACTAGAAATGTAGCCAAGACTCAAACTAGTAGAATGCTAGCTTTGAGCAAAAGAGCTGAGTTCAAGCCACACAATGGACACAATAAACTCAAAGCTGAGGGAAACTCCACCATGGAGCTATTAAGAATAGAGAAACCATGGGCCTGGAAGATGGCTCAGAGGTAGAGCGATTGCCTTGTGTGCTTGAGAACCTGTGTTTGATTTCTAAGCACCACATAAGCAGGGGAAAAAAGCTGGAATTGGCATTGTGGCTCAAGTGATAGAGTGCTAGCCTTGTGCTTAAGAGCTGAGAGAGAGCTCCCAGGCCCAGAGTTCAGGCCCCACAACTCGACCACCCCCCACACAAACAATTGAGAAACCAGATTTAGGAGCAACCTTGTGAAGAGGATGTCTGCGACCTTACATTAATGATGACCCAGCAAGAGCAATTGTTTTCCACTATTTCTTAGTCACAGGGCACTGTGTTCCTAAACCTGAATTGATTGTGAAGCTGGAGCAAGGTGCAGAACCATGGATAAGAGAAGCCTCAGACAAGAATTTCACAGGTGAGTTAAAGCATCTACAATGCTCATGGTGGGTCCAGAGCCCAGTTGGTCTGTTTATCTTGAGCTGTACAGAGCAATAGTATTCCTAGTACCCCTGAGTCATGTGTGGCAGAGAACTAGGTGATCCTTTGTCTCAAGGAATTTTCAATCCAGAATTCTCCTGGAGACAAACTGAATTTGGTGTGCCAGTGTAGTTAATGTTAGCAATTCCCTTTTTCTGTAGAGAAGTCTTTCATAAAGAGGAAAAGACAATAAGAAATGTAGAAAGGAGATCTCATTTTCTTTTAAACTAGTATTATGCAGGTAGGAGGAAAATAGGAGTATGCTAGGGCTGCTATTCTCTGATTGGGACAATTTCTTATCAGTGGTGCTGGGCATAGAGGGAGATTCAGAATGGAAGCATTAAGAGTATAGAGATGAATTATTTGAGTAAATATTTCCTTGAGAAAAAAAAGAAAAATCTGAAATACAGAAAACATTATTTTCCATTGTGAAATGTCAGTACTACTTTC